GGATCTGTCACACCTTTGAGTTTACTCAAAAATAATTCTGATGAATCAACAACTTTCAAATTTATGCCAAATTGATCTACAAATTTTTTCTTAACCGTCTCACATTCATTAAGTCTCATTACTCCATTGTCTACCAAAATTGCATGAAACCTAAAAATAATAATATTTATGTTTATAAAAAATTAAAATTAATAATATTAATTAATTTTCAATTAATAAAATTTCAAGCTACCTGTTACCAATAGCTTCTTTCATTAATTTAGCAGCTACTGTACTATCAACACCACCACTTACTGCTCCAACCACTTGACCCTTCTCACCAACCAATTGACGAATCCTGTTAATCTCTTTATCAATAAACGATTCCTAACATATTCATACATACATAAAGTTTTTATTCTACAAATTAATATAGTTGACAATACTTTGATACTAACTATGTAACAATCATGATCTTTTTTCCTTTTACCATTGTCCAATTTTTTTTGCATTCACATATTTTAACAACAAAATTTTTAAGAATATTTTTACCAAGTGGTGTATGAGTTACTTCTGGGTGAAATTGAATACCAAATATATGTTTTTCTTCGTGTCCAATAGCTGCAAATTTAGATGTTGGTGTATTTCCGATCACTTTAAAACCATTTGGAATTTTGTCCAATTGATCTCCGTGACTCATCCAAACCTTGAGAAATAATAATACTTTTATTTATTAAAATTTACATAAACATAAACATATGTATAAAGATATGTATATATTACTATGTATGGCTTTTTGAAAAATCTTTAAGATTTACCTGAACTTCTTCATCTTCTAATCCATCAAATAATCTATCTACAAAAGGATGATTTTGATGCTTGATTATTTTTAACATTACATGACCATACTCTCTATGAATACCAGATGCTACCGATCCATCGTGATTCCAAGCTATTTCCTATATTTATATATGTGTGTGAATATACTATCAATTTTTTCCAATAGTAGTAATAATAATAATAAAATTTTTAAAAATAACCTGAAGCCCATAACATATTCCAAGAATTGGTATATTAAGGTTAAATATATCTTTATCTACATGTGGTGCATCATCATCATATACTGAGTAAGGGCTGCCTGATAAAATAATTCCTTTGTTTTTTTGCAGGGAAAATATGTAAAAAAACCTCATTTAATTAATTAATTAACTCGTTAATTAACTAACTAAACGTATTTGATTTCAATCTTTTAGATAATCAAAAACCTTTTGGAGTAAAATTTAAATCGCAAATTTTTTGAGTACATGGTAACATTTCACAATAAACTCCTAATTCACGTACACGTCTTGTAATTAAATGTGAGTACTGCGAACCAAAGTCAAGAATTAAAATCGTATCGTATAATGAATGAACTTGAGTCACTTCTTTTGCCATTATTATTATTATTAAAGGTATTGTTTATTATTTATTTTTTAACTTGCAAATTTAAAATTTTTTTATCATCGGGGAGATTTTAGATCATGACAATCTTTTCTATTTCGAGAAATAAAATATTTACTCTTTTGGTGAAATGTTGGAGAAATATTTTTTAGCTTTTTCAGGATTTGGTATTATTGTTGGATCACCTTTTTTCCAATTAACTATAATATTTATATAAAGTATGTGTTTTTTGAATAAATTTACTATTTATGAAAGATAAATAAATAAATAAATAAATACTTGGACAAACTTCTCCAAATTCGTTGACATGTTTAATAGCATCTAATAAACGAAGTGTTTCGTCAACTGATCGACCTGATCAATTCAAAAAAGAAAATTAAAATAATTTTACTCATTTATTTATAATTATGTTCAATCAGAAAGATAAAATTAATATTAATACCAATTGGTGCATCATTAATATGGACGACGCGAATTTTACGCTAAATAAAGTTTAAAAAAAACAAAGTTAGAATTAATTTAAGAATTTGGTAATTTTTTAATTTACCTCATTATCAATAATTATAAGGCCTCTATAAAAAAAATATATTAATTATTAACTCATGCACAAATATAATTTAAGTAAATTATGATGATTGTTATTAGTACTACCTTAATGGTGCCCCCATTGATTCACTCAAGACAGAATATCTTTTTGAAATTGTTTTTTTGTAATCAGCAACTAAGAATAAAATAATATTATTAGTATTATTAATATTGTTATTATTATAATCTTTTTACAAGCATATATATTATAGGCTGGTTGAATTTTCAATTTTAATATTTACCCAATGGAATTCTAGAGAAGATTGATCACGAGAAAGACCTTGAAAATTATTTTTTATTCATTGATGTAAGTAAAAACATAGAGTGAATACAAGCTTACTTGATACCACTGATACCGCCTTGATCACGAGGGACTTTACTATAAATATTTAAAATTTGTGATTATGAATTATTTATAATAATAAATATAGCCGCTCAAAAATTTTATTCCAAATTTTTACCTCCAGGCGAGATGTGAAAACTCTGAATCACATGAAATACCTATTACTTTGGCATTACGTGAATTAAATTTTTCGATATTATCACTATAAATAACAATAGTTAGCGACATATAAATATAAATATGGTGTATAATGTATATAGATGTGTCAGAGAAATAAGTATTACGAAAAAGCAAGTAATTCTGTGGGGCAAACTGTTGATGGGAATAAAAAAAATTAGTATTAATTTCTGGTTTTTAATAAATAATACGCAACCAAATGTAAGGAAATCATCGAAGAAAAATTCCTTTACCGTAAGTAAAATCAAATGGATAAAACACTAAAACAATAAATTTTCCAGCAAAATCTTCAAGCGAAAGTTTTGTGATTTTGCCATCTACAACGGCAGTAGCCTCCCAATCGGATGCAGTTTCCTGCAAAAATTAACTAACTAATTTAGTTGAATATCCAAATAATATAATTTTTGTAAACTAATGAACTTACAGAAACTCTGTCAATTTTTTCAACCGGCATACATTCTCTAAATCTATTATTATTATTATTTTCATTTAGCCTACGAGTGACAACACTAAAGGACCTTTCTGGGTGATAAGCATTTAAGCCAGGAGCACGAGTCAATAATGAAGCGAGTTGACGACGAATCATAAACATTTTATTTAAATTTTTTTTAGAGATGATTATAGATGGGAATCTAATTTATTATTAGACAATGTCTAAAATACACTCACCTACCATAAATATCCGACCACCTGACGATCATTTTAATAATTAGGAAACTTATACCTCACGCAGTTCAAAACTTTATTAATTAAACCGGGACTGGTGCATTAAGTAAACATGTTTTTAAAGTCAATTTTAATATAAACTTAAAGTTTCGTCGAGTTTGCATTATTAATGAATTTAGGATGAAAACTTTAAATTAGGCAAAAAATTTCGCGAACAATTGAAATTCAATTAAAATAATAATGACAGAAAATCAGGAAACAAGAAATTCCGCATGTATGTTCTACAGGATTTAGGCTACAAGCTATGTATACTTATTATGTGTATTTTCGTGTAATTGGTTTTCCAAAATTTGGCTGTACTTGATCTAATAAAATCTATTTGAATCTACTAAAACAAATAAACAAAGGATAATTTATAAAGAAACTTTAAAGTATATAAATATGGTTGATTTGGACTGAGATTGATGTATTAAAAAAAAATTTTGCAATATTAAACTTTATACATTTAATGATATTACTTTGAATAAATTCTTTAAAAACAATGCCGCTTTATTTGAATTTATTCATTTTATTTGTTTTGTTTGGTTTTATTCGTTTTATTGGTTTTATTCACTTTGTTCAGTTTTATTTATTTTGTTTGGTTTTATTTGCTTTGCTTGGTTTTATTTGTTTTATTTGTTTTGTTCGTTTTATCATTTTGTTTGGTTTTATTTGTTCTATTCAGTTTTATTTGTTTTGAGTAAACTTATTTGAATAGAAATCCTCAAAGATTATGATATTATTTTAGTACAAAGAGCTTTAGAAATATTTAACCAATAACTTAATTACAATATAAAAGAGCTATTGGTTTATTAAATTAAGCCAATAATTAACTAAAAAATAGGATTAATTTTATATTTACTAATATGCTTTTAGACTATACTAAGAATATTATTAACTTATCAGTATGCCAATACCTTGATTATTTTTTTAAAGAATTATCAGGTTCTGATATTTACTGATACTCATTATCCAATTTGTCATCATTCAACCAGTAAAAAGAGGACCAATAGATTATATATAAGCAAAGAAAGATGAGAAAAATTTTAATTCATGCACAAACATAATAGCTTGATTGACAATGGTGGTACAGTCTTGGATTCCATGCAATTTTTTATTGTATAATTAATTATATATCTTTAATAAAACAAAAAATAAAACAAACATGACTGACTTGGCTATTTAATCATTTCCTTGTATGTGAACGCCTCCGTCCATCAAATATTCATGATGGTCATTATTATGATCCATCAAAATTGTGGTGTGATAATGAAAAAAATTTTCCCAATACTTGCTATTTTAGCCAAAAAATATTTGGCAGTCCCTTCGGAAGACTTTTCTCTGATGCAGGGCAACAAATTACTTTGTTACGAAATAGACTTAGCTCACAATCTGTTGATCATGTTCTTTTTTGCCCATTAAAGAATAATAAAAAAATGAAATTTTAAAATTCATGTTGTAAATGAAACGGGATTTATTGAAGTGATGTTTTGGACATGTGACCTAGATTCTTTCATTTTATTGATTACTATAATATGTAAAAGTTGTTAACTCATAAGCATAAAACAATCAAAAGCTACTACTACTATTTGCAATGTAAAAATTGATTACTTTTCGATTTGTCGATCAATTCATAATCGATTATAATCAATTAACATCCCTAATATGTGAGAGAAGAATACAAGGACATTCATCATCTATTGATCAATAATTCATCAACTGGTTCCTGTCATAAGTTCGTTGTCACTGGAACATCAAGTGCAGGTAAATCATGCTTTTTGGTTTATTTCTTGATCCGATTATTGTATGAATGTGAAAATATTAATACCATCTTCCAGTCTCATAAGAAAAGTGAGAAATTCTATTGCTTTGATGAAGATGGAATTAATGTTGGAAGTTTAGGTGACTTTTCAAATTGCTTCAGATCTGGTGAAACATGCTAATCTAGCAGATGGTGTCATAAATCCTGAGGATGTTGAGGCAAAAACAATGGTCGCTTTATCACCAAAAAGCATAAAGAAATATGAATTCCAAGAATTTGATAAAATTATTGTGAAGAGGTTTTATATAGGACCATGGTCGTTAAATGAGTCGTTAATTTGTAAAAAATATGTCTTCTCGAGAGTTCCGGTAATTATAATGTTGGAACTTTACAGCAAGACAGGTGGTGTGCCAAAATATGTCCTTCAAAAGATTGAAGAGGCAATGAAATATTATGACCCAAAGACACTTAAAGTAACGGATGAGATTTTAGGCAACTGCCTAATTCACCAATGGCCAAACCTTACTTATGATGATTATTATCTTGGATGGGCCTCTAATTTTATATTTGATGAAATCCAAAAAAAACGCACGGAATGATCTTCTGGAAAAATCCGAGATCATAAAAAATATCCTATTGCCAGGGGAATAATGTTTGAACTGCATGTAATTCATCTCTTCATGACTGGAAACATCACTTTGCAACAAGGAAATTAGAGAAATGCAAGTTAAGCCTCACATAATTAATTACTGTTGACGGTAATTGAGAGAGTTTACTATATCTTGTTTTTCATTATCAGGATGATGAAGATGATGCAGACAAGGATGGTGTAGACAAGCATACTGCTATCATCAGAAAATATAAAATAAAGCACCAATCAAGAGTTGAATACATCCTAACTCCAGAAGAATTTTCAGATCATAATGAAGGAAACAAGGTTATCCTACCATCAAAATCAAATTTTGGTGCAGCAGATCTATTTGTTACTCCTGACAATATCTTTCAAATAACAGTGCCAAAAAAACATCCCATCAAGCAGGTTGACCTTGTTAATATAATCAAAACATGCAATCATATATAATTAACAAAGAAGCAAAGGTTAAATTTTATTTCGTGGTTTCAAGTATCACAATATCATAACACGTGATAATGATAATAAAAACTTTCGGGAAGTCAAGTCCATGTCCCACTTCCTCAGAAATGTGGAACAATGGGTTCTAAAGGTCGATATTAAACCTAAGATGTAAATTTGTTAACATCACAGTAATGTTGGATGAGTATGTTTAATAAATTATGCCCTTGTGGCTTTTGCATCACAATTTACAATGTACAAATTATAAATAAAGTTTCATTTACAATAAATATCCGACCATCTGACGATCATTTTAATAATTGGGAAACTTATACCTCACGCAGTTCAAAATTTTATT